TGCACTTTGTTTCAATAATTAATTTTTTCATTCCAAAGAAGTCGACGACACAATTGAGAAGATCGATCCCCGTNCTTTGTTTCAATAATTATTTTTTTCATTCCAAAGAAGTCGACGACACAATTGAGAAGATCGATCCCCGTATCTTTTTTTTACTCAATTCTTGAAGAAAATGAGACATCATCTAAAACATTTCAGAGATAATTATGTACGTTCAAAGCTTTTAACTTTCATACTTTAACAATTCAAAAGTCGAGGTTGAGTTTTCTCCAATCCGGAAGAATGAAGCAATTCATAAGATGTTCATGGAAAGACAAATTCAAAAACATGACATATTATGGAATCTCGGTTGCCATCAAGACTGAGACCCACATGAAACTTTTACATAATTGTATTTGAGTCCAATTAGGTCCGATTTTTTTAGAAACTTTAAGTTGGTTTGGTGGTGCTTTTATTTTGTGTCTTTTTCCATGTTTTTTAGAGTTGTGTATTTTGGAGTCCTATTCTTTTTAGGAGTAGATAATTTTTGAAGCCAATATATAGCCATGTAATGTTTTCAATCAAACTAGGGAGATATTTTCAACAAATTTTCACAACTATATGTTTTTCGATTGAATAATGTAATTCAAGCCCCAAGCGTGATGCCTAAGGAACTCTCGAAGTGATTCCTAACTTTCTTCTTCTACTCTTCTTCATCTTTCTTCTATTTTTCTGCAAGTATCTACGTTCTAAACACTTTTATCAAACCTACTATACTCATAGTTATCTATACTACTATAAGATGTGAGGGTATCTGAAATTTTTTTTTATTGACTAAAATGGCCTTAATAAATCACCTAATGTCTCTTATATCGTAACCGCTCATATCCTACTGCTCCAATATCAACGGCTACGTTACTGAATGTTAATCAGCTCCACCATTTCAAGTTTTGTCGCCCAACTTAAATAACATAACTTCCTGATATTTAATCGTCCCTCCCCTCTTCTTTGTAGCCTCTCAATAACCTTTTGCTCTCTCTTGCAATCTCCGACAAGTTTCTGGTGTTCTCAGGTAAACCATATTTTTCTTTTTTAATAGTTATAATATCTATGGAATGAAATATTTGTCCTCTTTAATGGTTTCTTCAATCATCTATGACTGACTTTTGAAACCATGTGTTTTTACTGAATCTATGGATTGTTGTTTTAATTACATATTGGATTCTTCAGATATACTCAAAGCACAATAGAAGAATTTTATTAGCTCCAAAGCACAACTTAAGTTTTCACCTTAGCAATTGCAATTCCATGGTGAGACTCGAGACATTTAGATCGTCAAGTAGTCTACCGTTCTTTAATTCCAAGTTGTAGACTCACATGCATAGATTTGTGAGACACTACATAAATTGGAGCATTGCAGTAAAATGTTTTATTTATTGAAATTTTTTTGCTTTGAAGTTTATTATTTCGTTAAATTTTCTGGCTGCAGTTGCTTCTTCATTCCTTCACTGTTTCTCTACCAATTATTAAGGTACTCGCCCATTCTAACTTTGTTCATTTGTTGGTTGGAAAACAGTGATAAGATTTTGTAACACTTTTAATCCATTCTTTTTGTGTGCCTGCAATGTGTTTGTTGAAATGCCACTGGGTAGTTTTTAAATAACATGTTTTCTTGACCGACTTAGCATTCCAGACCAACTCTAAAATCCTCAAGACAAAGATAACAATCTTTAAGGTGTTTGACCCAGCTACGAATTGGCTTGCCCATCAATCGGAGAACGCATCATTGCAAAAGTGATTGTAGTTCTTAGTGATGAGATTGTTGGTGTTTCTCGAGTACTCCTCTGCTAATTTTTCCATGAATGCATGGACATCTTTTGGATTCATATCCGTTTTTTTCCAATCAAGATCAATTTTCTCTTGTGAAACTAGGGCATTGCTTTGGTTCCACTTCAGATATCCAAATCGTTGGATGCTCATGTGCACCAAATGCATATTCTATTCTATGAACTGCCCAAAATGAAAAACAAAGAAACTAATTTGAGAGATCCAAAGTTTAGCATCCAAAAAAAATAATAATAAAATCCATCCAATAAAGCTGACTCCCAACCACATTTTTCTGTTTGCTTACTAAGAAAATTTACAACAACAAAAGAAACCAATATTTAAATACCAAAATTTCTCTTTTTCTACCACTGGGAGAAGAAAATAGTTAGTCATTAATAAGTGTCCTGCTCTAATGAT